AAAGACAACTGAAGACAATAGTTCGTCATTAGAAGTTATTTAGTATAACTTTATTCGGAAAATTAATCTCAAAATCGAGTTGCCGTCCCCGGCGTTGTCAGTGACGTCGTATGATTTGTGAGCGATTTTTACCAATTAACCCCTAAGTAAAAAATAGTTGAGCCACATGTAGTACCTTTCAAATCAACCCAGAAACCCGGTAGTTTGTTGATTGTTTATTGGTAGCGTCCCTTTGCTGCCGCCAAAAATATTTTTTGGCAGTTGCGTCCCCGGTGTCATCGTGAGGGCATGTGAAGGCTGGTTACGATTTGGTGGCACATCGATTGAGTACAGTATTTTCATTCATCTGGCCATGTAATTCAGTGGCGTATCTAGATGTCTTTAGATGGGTAGGGGGGGGGCGTGAAGGTGAAGTGGGGGAGGGGTTGATGTGGCGGGAAGGTGAAGTGGGGGGATCTCGATGATCAGTTGAGGGGCGCTAATTCGCAAAATAAAGTGATTTTAGGTGATACTTAACTACTTGACGGGATTTCTTTCAACAGTGATACTGCTGTGTGATTAATCCTTGTGCTTTCCTAGACGGAGTTGACGTTAAGGTAAATAAAACTCGAAAAAAAAACTGTTCTAAAAGCATACATATATTTTGATATCATTTGAAATATCTTACTTGAATCTATTATACTGTGTATGAAGATGGTGATCAGGCATACAGATTTCAAGAAAAATAAAAAACAGCGTTGTGTCATTGTGCATTTTTGCATACGTTTTTGTGACATAGTTTTTTAAAACATTGATACACACCAAAATTGTCAGTTATTTCATTTTAAACCAGTGTTCGTATAATCTTAGATGAGCAGGTGGTTAACATAAGAATTAAGTCCTATGAAATTTATCATCTTGATACCTTCCGACGAAAATTTACCCTACCGTGACCAACAAAGACAACTGAAGACAATAGTTCGTCATTAGAAGTTAAGTCAGTGGCGTATCTAGATGTCTTTAAATAGTAGGGAGGCTGATGGGGGCGCGAATGTGAAGTGGGGGATGATGGGGAAGGGGTACGAATGTGTGAAGTGGGGGAGGGGCTCGACGATCAGTTGAGGGGCGTTAATTTGCAAAATAAGGTGGTGATTTTTAACTACTTGACCATGATTTTTTTTTCAACAGTGATACTGTTGTGTGATTACTCCTGGTGCTTTCTAAGACGGAGTCGACGTTAAGGTAAAAACTGTTCCAAAGCATACATATATACATACATTAATAGTAGGGAGGCTGATGGGGGCGCGAATGTGAAGTGGGGGATGATGGGGAAGGGGTACGAATGTGTGAAGTGGGGGAGGGGCTCGACGATCAGTTGAGGGGCGTTAATTTGCAAAATAAGGTGGTGATTTTTAACTACTTGACCATGATTTTTTTTTCAACAGTGATACTGTTGTGTGATTACTCCTGGTGCTTTCTAAAACGGAGTCGACGTTAAGGTAAAAACTGTTCCAAAGCATACATATATACATACATTTTTATATCATTTGAAACATCTTACTTGAATCTATTATTATCATTCCTGATGATGACATAATTAATGTCGAAATATTTAATCCCAACACGATGGCGTGTATTTCAATACTTGGAGTATGTATTATACTTTCTTGAATCTATTATACTGTGTATGATTATGGTGATCAGGCATACAGATTTCAAGAAAAATAAAAAAAACAGCGTGGTGTCCCTGTGCATTTTTGCACGTATTTGTGACATAGTTTCATGTCAGTGGCGGATGGGGGTGTTGGGGGTGGGGGGGGGGGGGGGGGGGGGGGGGGGGGGGGTTTCGTTTGAAACCTGTGAATGAACGTAACAAAATACTAATGGGTCCTGGCTTACAAAAGGCATGCTAACCTACCTGGGCATAGGTTTGCAGATCAGAGAAAATAGGCTTCGCCCAACTAGCCCCATTTAATAAATTTAACAAACACAGTTTTTGGTTGGACGAGTCGTAATAATTTATGTAGGGCCTACGAAAGTTGGTTCTTCAGGCCTATTGATCGATGGAGGAAAGAATACGTATTCAACTACTCAATATTGTTGGAATACAATAATGTATTACCTGTCTTCTTTTTTTTTTTTTTTTTTTTTTTTTTTCCTTTTTCAAAAGAGGGAAAACCTTGAATTTTGAAGAACTTAAAAGGTCATTAAAAGACACCTCAAAAGTCGGGAAAGCTCATTTCCAGCCATCTACGAATCAAAATTTTCACGGGGGAGGAACCCCGGACCCTCCTTTTTTTTTTTTTTTTTTGGTGTAGATGTGTATAAGAGACAGGGGGAGGGGTTTGGGAACTTTCTGAAACCCCCTCTTTGAAATCCTGGATCCGCCCCTGGCATATGCCCTCTTTAAATAGATATTAACAATGCTCTGCTGCTCCTTACACTGTTTTACATTAAAGGTGGAGTAGGTAGAAGGGGGTTCAAAGCCACAATGAATAAGGTATATAATGAGGTGAATTTTAACTACTTAAGAGTGATTATTTTTCTTCTGTTTTATATTATACAGTAATATTATTTTTTCATGGAGATCTTTTGTTTTTTATATTTAATTATATTAAACAAGAAATAACCATAATCAGATAATGTAAATGTTATGTTATGTTTTTAAATTAGCATTAATATAATGCAGCGCTTTCAGTTAAGAACCGATTTTTTACATGGCATGAGCTATTGCTGCATATGCATATCAAGGCAGAGGATGGGGCAGCTGACACTCAGTGAGTAAAACCTTGCTTAAGCAGCCCATGGCCAAATATGTTATATTGTCATCCTGAAAGTGCTGTGGCATATTAATGCTAATTCAAATTTTTTTAGACCACAATATTAGGGATTGCAAATCAAGGCCTGTCCAACAGGGGATAATACCCCCTGACCCCTATGGCACCACCACTGATACCAAACCATTTCCGCTGAGCCAAACCACTTTCAATAATTTGTGTGGATTATAGTAAATTAACTGTTTTTGTCATCATATACGGTTTCAGTCCTTTTCCATTTTGGTTATAGGTTGGACTATTCTTCATTTGATGGCAGATCTCCAAGCTCTTCTGTCCAGAGCTAACTGCCGGCTTAGACGTTTTTTCCCAAAGGTCGCTTTATATGAATTCCTCCCATGTTTTCCGGGGTCTGCCTCTACCTCTACTACCTTCGACTTCCATACTTCTGCATCTGCTAACCCAGTTATCTGCCTCCTGTTTTTGTGTTCAGAAAATAGCAACAGAGAGCCATCTTTATTGAGATATTTATTTAATAAGAAAAGGAAAGTAATAATTATTGCAAAAACAGAAAAGATGCAAACATAAGTGCATCAAACCAACTATCAAAGTAAATAATAAAATTATTGCTCACATTGAATTCATTTTGACCAAAACAAAAGGTGAATTTACTTTAGTGAAATTGTACCGCTGATCAAACAGCATGTTTTTTAAGCCTGTAGCTAAATTGGAAGATGGATTTTGCAGTTGTGGTCAGTCATACCTGACAACACATTCCACATTTACATTCCGTAAAACATTCAGTGACGCACACAGTATT